ATTACGTACTGATTTAAGGAGAATGATGCCCCCTCCTTACCTAATGTTAGCATGGAAATAAATATATATATATCTTAAAAATCACTTAGATTTTTTCAAAACACACATGTATAATATATGACTTGTTATATAATGTCGTTATTGACTATAGACAGGTGGCTATTCTTTACTATTGGGTAATGTAGAAATGTTAGATTCCAATAGGCCTACTATGAATAACCAAGCATAGTACCTCGGTGTTCTTCTCTTCGATTTTATAGATGAAGGTAATTAATCTCTAAAAATTAATGAACAAAAAAAAATCTTTTGAAAAATACTTCTAATGTATTCCTCAACTAATAGTATGTAACAGTAGATACATAATTTATGTAACCACGAGTATTTGGATTATAGTGTTCTTTTCGTTTACAACGCATGAAGAACCGTTTATTGCGATAACTCAGTGGAGGATCTAGCTAGGGGGCACAGGGGGCACATGCCCCCCCCCCGGCCAAAAAAAAAAATTCGGGAGCAAAAAAAATGGGCCCCCCCCCCCCCCTCTAAGAAATCCTGGATCCGATGATAACTTCATGAGTTGAACTGATTTTTACCGTAGTATACATGTCCAAGTTATCAGGTAACACTATTGCCTAAGACTATTCTCACAATTTTCTTGTAAAATATACCATACAATATGGCATGCACAATGTCAACTCGCGTGCCTGTCCAACGAACGGTGTATCACATATCAGAAGCAATATGTATTCATGCGAGTGTCCTTTTGTATCTAGTGAATTTAGAAGAATTAATAAAATGCTTAGTAATCCACGTTGAAGGAAACAGGTGAAATGAGCCTACTGAAAACAAAGGGGGGAGTATAGCATGCTCTCTTGAAGATATCATTTTGATGTAATGTCATCCCACCGATACGATACCTTAAGTACTGTGGAGTACAGGATGACGTTTTTCTTGAAGCCGATGCTTGTGATGTCACAGGCGTCGCTTTGTAGAAAGTGTATGGATTAGGTCGCTTGAGGGCGTACTGGATTTTGTGTGTTACTGATTTTCCACGTCATGGGATAGTTGCCTCCCAGAGTTGCCTAAGTTTTCGTTTAATTTTGTGATACAAGCCCAATGATGTAAGTAGAAATGAATATGTTATCTTGAAGTTTATGAGTTATATTGTCTTTACAGCTAGATAGCTTAATGAAATATGATGTTTATGACACTAATTTGAGATGATGAAATATGACATGAATGAATCGTTCAAGTGAAAGATTGTACACGTGTATGTAGGTTACGTAATTGTCGTGCACGGTAGTGCGTCTTAATGTACATGTACGTAGTAGTATAATGATATGACCTTGAAGAATGTCAAGGTCACCGTCGGTGAGTTATTATTTGTTGCATGTATTTACCGTAGTCAGATATATAGTGAGAAAGGCATTGTTTGTTTTCCTTTGTTATGATAACAGTTATTAGGATTTTCAGGGTATATTTAATTTGATACATGATATGTTATTTTCATGTCAGTTTATGCAAGATGATTTATTGTTGTTTATCTTTCTATTAAAATTGCAGATTGAACCTTGCCTGCTACAGTCTATAACCAAATTACAGTGCATGGTGTCATTACTATGGGTCTTGGGCAACTAGTTAGTTCGCCAAATCGTCCACCACAACAGTTCAATATCAACTTGTGTGACTGTCATATCCTCCATCATGAGCGTAACCGGCATGGATATGAGCACAGATCCAGAGGTTACCTTCAAGGACCACAAGTCGGACAGTATTAGACCTGAGAACTCAGCTAGCCAAAGAGGGAGTAGCACCACCTCGGCGAGTTGGAGGATACGGGCGAAGGCTAAGAGAGCTGCCTTAGCCGCAGAAGTAGCAGCTCTTAAAGACCAACAAGAACTTGAGATAGAAGAAATGAAGCTTAAACAACGGAAAGCTGAGCTTCTTCTGAAGACTAGATTAAAGATCGCTGAAGCGGAGGAAACCGTATATAGAGGTACTCGGTCCATAGAACAGAAGACTGAGCCTTCCAAGTCTGAACCTTCACAACAAGGTTCATCAACTCCTGCTAGAATGAAGCCAGCAAGTGAAAACCAGATACTGACCAGTCAAGATGATAAGATAACTGGAAAGATGGACTCTGACATCTTACATCATCTACAGCAAGGACAGAGACAACATCAACAGCTGTTGGAAGCCATCACAATTTCAAGTACCAACATTATGTCTTTTGATGGTAACCCGTTGAATTTCTTTGAGTTCATACGATCATTTGATAGTGTCATTGGAAATTCGTCATTGGACAATAACGCCAAGCTGCTCAAGTTGTATCATCTTTGTACTGGAGCTGCCAAAGACATAATCCAATGTTGTCTCATGATGCATCAAGATGACGGGTACTTTCATGCTAGAACACTTCTGATAGATCGCTTTGGAAGTGACCATAAGATCAGTGACGCCTGGATTAGGAAGGTCACGGAAGGTCCAGTTATTCAGAGCAATCCTAAACATCTGAGGGATTTTGCTGATCAGCTAAAGACCTGTGCTGAAACTTTGATGGCCCTTGGAATGCTTCACGAGATGAGCAGCAGAAGTGAGCTGGTGAAGGTCATTGAACGTTTGCCATTCCATCTGAAGAGCCGGTGGTTGCGTTTCGTAAAGACCATCAGGGATAGTGGCAGACAGCCTAACATCCAGCATGCAGTTGAATTCATCACCGGTGCAGCTGATGAACTCAATGATCCTGTATTTGGAGCCTTACTTATGGGTGGACCAAAGAGTCTAGGAAGTGCAAGGAGTGTAAAGGAAAGATCTGTGTCAGGTAGAGGTCAGGCAAGCATGTTTACTACCTCTGTGAATTCATCGACCAAGAACTGCATCATGTGTCAGGACAGCCATGACCTTTTCGGTTGCCAGGAATTTAAAGCCATGGAGCCTGATGAACGCTTTGATTTTGCCTTCAAGAACAGGCTTTGTTTCAATTGCTTGTTACCTGGTCATGTATCCTCAAAGTGCATCCTTAATAGGACCTGCTCAGTCAAGGGGTGCAATCAAAGGCATACCAAGTTCCTCCATACCGGGAGAAGGATGAGACCATCTTCAGGAAATCCTACACCTTGGAGAACAAGAAGGGAATCGAATGACTCATCAACTCAAACTGACTATGATGTAGCATCTCATGCTAGTTCCAATGCCACGAGGGCCGGAGGTTGCAGAGTAGCCCTTCCAATAATTCCGGTTACTGTCAGTGCTGCAGATGGTGGAGAAAGCATTGAGACCTTAGCTTTGCTGGACCCTGGTTCTACGAACTCATTCTGTCTGCAAGAATTAATAGATGTGCTCCAGACAAAGGGGAAAAAGAAAGTCATTCAGGTCTCAACACTGGAAAGCCCTAAAAGAGCAATGGAATGCGAAGCCGTCAAGTTGAGGGTTAAAGGTTCCACAGCAGACAAGATGATAGAGGCTGAATTTCTAACTCGTCCCAGCCTGAACATCAGTACTGCAAACATGGCCAGGGAGGAAGATATTTCGAAATATCAACATCTTTGTGGCATTGATCTTCCAGTCACGGGGAAGAACCAAGTAACCATACTGATTGGACAAGATGTGCCTGAAGCCCTGATGCCACTTGAAATCAAAGCAGGTAAACCTGGTGAAGTTTATGCTGTCAAGACAATACTTGGATGGACGTTAAATGGTCCACTTGGAAATGGAAGTAGTTTGCAGAGTTTCCAAGCCTCGTCTAGCTTCATCTCTGATGATGGTAACATGCTCCTGGAAGAACAAGTTCACAAATTTTGGAAGCTAGAAGGGACAGAATACCTTCATGATGATGAAAGAAGCATGTCCATCAATGATCAGAAAGCCTTGAAGACCTGGCAGGAAGGAGTTTGCAGAGATGGTGATCACTATCAACTTCCCATTCCATTTCGGAAGAGGCCTGAAGATCTGCCGAATAACATCCAAGTTGCACTAACCAGACTAGAGTCACTGAAGAGAAGACTGGTAAAGGATGATTGTCTACATGCTAAGTACAGTGAAGGAATGAGGTCTTTGTTGGATGAAGGGTATGCTGAAGAGGTTAAGGACCAGGATCTTGGGAAGGATGAAGGAGTCTGGTACTTACCGCATCACCCGGTATTCAATCCAAATAAACCAGAAAAGACAAGAATTGTCTTCGATTGTGCTTCCAAGTACAATGGAACTTCTTTGAACGATGCGGTACTTCAAGGTCCAGACTTGACGAACAACCTTCTTGGTGTTTTGCTCAGATTTCGCCAAGAACCTATAGCCATTATGGGAGACATAAGGGCAATGTTTCACCAAGTAAGAGTCCCACCAGAGCAGAGAGACTTTCTCCGCTTCCTGTGGTGGCCAGAAGGAGATCTTATCCAACATCCTAAGGCTTACAGGATGTGTGTTCACCTATTCGGTGGGACATGGAGCCCAAGTGTTTGTAGTTTTGCCCTTAGACATACAGCTGAAGAATTCAAGACCGAATATTCTCCAGAAGCAGTGGATGCTGTCGGTCGTAACTTCTATGTAGATGACTGTCTCGTTTCATGCAAAACAGAAGATGATGCAATCAAGCTTGTAGCTGAACTCATGACGCTGCTCAAGAGGGGTGGATTCGAAGTGACCAAGTGGATAAGCAACAGCCCAGCTGTGATCAAGTCTGTGCCTTTGGAAGATCGAGCTAAAAACATTGTGGGACTCGATTTGAATCGGGATGCCTTACCAGCAGAAAGGGCACTTGGAGTAACATGGGATGTAGAACTGGACTGCATCACCTATAAGATCACCCCAAGGGCAAACCAGTAACGAGGAGGGGAATTCTGAGTGAGATAGCATCAATATATGACCCCTATGGATATGCCAGTCCATTCGTCTTGGTTGCCAAGAGAATCCTCCAGGATCTAACTGCTCTGAAGCTTGGATTTGATGACCCAGTTCCAGATGAACACCATTCCAGGTGGCTAAAATGGAAAGAATGGCTTCCCTTAATGAGCAACTTCAGAGTGAGCAGGTGTTTCAGACCCTTTGATGATGTGAACGAGTACCAACTGCATCATTTCTGTGATGCATCTGAGTCGGCGTACGGTGTAGTGTCTTACCTGCGCATGACCAGTGAAGGAGGACAAGTCCATTGCAACATAATTCTGGCTAAAGCAAAATTAGCACCTCTGAAGAAGATGACAATACCTCGCTTAGAGCTCATGGCGGCAGCACTTGCAGTCACAATGGATAGAAAGATCAGAAAGGAGCTGGACTTTCCCTTGAATGAGTCTGTCTTTTGGACAGATAGCACAATAGTCCTCCATTACATCCGCAGTGACAACAAGCGCTTTCGGACATTTGTGGCTAACAGGATATCTACCATCCGTGATGCCTCGGAGCCCAGGCAGTGGAGATATGTCAACACAGAAAAGAATCCAGCTGATGATGTATCAAGAGGTCTAACGCCAGACAAGCTCAATGGCAGATGGCTCAAGGGACCATCCTTCCTATGTGCTGATGAGATGGAATGGCCTATCGCTCCAGCTGATCTGCAAGTGCCACCAAGTGATCCAGAAATCAAACCACCTACAGAAAATGCCAGTGCATTCACAACTCAGTCAGAGGAGAAGTCATTGGAAAGGCTTATCAACACATATTCCTCCTGGTATAAGCTGAGGAGGGGAGTGAGCTGGCTATTGAAGTTCATGCAGTGGTTGAAACTCAAAGGAAAAACCCAGACAGAGCAAGAGCTGAGGGACTTCAAAAGGATCAGTTACGACGACATGCAGAAAGCAGAGAAGAGAATTTTGCATTACGTGCAAAAATGTTTCTTCCAGAAGGAGATTGAATCATTGACCGATTCAGATGGTAAAGTGACAAAGACAAGTCAACTCTACAAGCTGGACCCTAAGATAGTCGAGGGTCTTGTTAGAGTTGGAGGAAGATTAGAGAGATCAGCTCTACCATCAGAAGCTAAACACCCAGTTGTCTTACCCAAGGGAAGTCACGTGTCAGATCTGATCTTGAGAGATGTTCATGTAAAGGCAGGGCATAGTGGAAGAAATTATGTCCTTTCTGTGCTCCGTGAGAAGTATTGGATGCTTGGAGCAGGAGCAGCTATCAGGAGCATGATTAGCAGATGTGTCATGTGCAGGCGGCAAAGAGGGAAGATGATGAGTCAGAAGATGGCTGACCTGCCTGAGAATAGACTGTTACCTGACGAGCCTCCATTTTCCAAGGTTGGCATTGACTATTTCGGCCCCTTTGAGGTTAAAAGGGGTCGCAGCATGGAGAAGAGATATGGAGTCATGTTCACATGTCTTACCACACGCGCCATTCATTTGGAAGTCGCTCATTCTTTGGATACGGACTCTTGTATCAGTGCCATTCGTCGTTTCATCGCTCGCAGGGGCAATATCAAGGAGATGCTCTCAGATAATGGCACTAATCTTGTGGGCGCTGAGAGAGAGCTGAAAAGAGAAATAGATGGATGGAACAAAGCTCAAATCAGCGCAGACCTGCTCCAGAAAGGCATCAAATGGACTTTCAACCCACCCACTGCTTCCCATTTTGGAGGAGTCTGGGAAAGGCAGATTGGGACTGTGAGAAAGCTCATACTGGCAGTAACTAAGCAACAGGTGCTCTCAGGTGAAAGTCTGACAACTCTCTTCTGTGAAATTGAGAGCATCGTCAACAACAGGCCTCTAACAAGTGTATCAGATGATGTCAATGATCTTGAGGCCTTGACTCCCAATCACCTACTTCTGCTGAACAGGAAGCCGCAACTGCCACCAACAGTGACGGACAGATCAGATGTATACTCGAGAAGGAGGTGGCGTCAAATACAGTATCTCGCCGACGTATTCTGGAGGCGCTGGTCTAGAGAGTACTTACCGCAGTTGCAAAGAAGAGAAAGATGGGTACCATCGCATCGCAATCTTCAGATTGGTGACTTGGTGCTGGTTGCCGATGCAAACACTCCGCGGAATTCGTGGCTGCTGGGAAGAGTACTTCAAACTTTCCCAGACAAGAAAGGCTTCACCCGTAGTGCGAACATCAAGACGAAGAATAGCGTAATTGTTCGTCCTATCTCGAAATTGTGCCTGATTTTGGAAGGAGATTGTTAATTGCCCTCATTTGGAATTCATGGATCGTGTGATGTTTAATCACATGATAAGAAGGAGAAATTTGAGATATATAAATTTTGTGATCGAGGAAAATTTTGTGTTTCAGAGGATGTCGTCGCAGAGATATGATCATATGAAGATCGTGATTTTTGATTGGAAATCAGAAGGATCCAATTAAAGCAGAAATGTTATTATCATGAAATGTGATGTCATGATATCGCCAACATTTATTTTACGTGAAAGTGTCAAAATGTGACAATTCGTATTCAACGCGAGGATATAATTTTTTTGTTGAGATATGAATCGTCTAGTGATCTACAGTGCAGATTTAGTCACCATAGCAACTCAACAGTGACTGATTCATGTAACTGAGAATTGAGAAACTGAACGGCTTACAAGAAGAAGACATAAACTGATACATTTATAGAAAAATGACTGTTTGCAATTCAAAGACTCATGAACTAATGAACATTAGTGTATTACACTTGAAGTTATGGAGTAATTTGCAAAGTTTCACACGATTTGTTATTTTTCCAGTGTAAAATGTAAACATGGCATTTAGCAGCATTTAAGTTGCAGTAAATGTGCAGTTGTGTATGTTGGTTGATGGTAATTTATATGTAGCTTCAGTGATTATCAGATTACTGTATATTTACTTATGTAAATGTATTGCTTCATTTAACATTCTGATTTAAGATGAAATTTATTCCAGAATTGGTTTGCATAACATTTTCTTGTTAGTATAGTGGTAAAGTGGTAAAAGAATATTCCATATTCTGACACAGAAAATGTGAGTTGTGTGTAGAAAGGTTCTACTAGTTGTCATGTTGATTAATGCAATATATGCAAATTTTATTTGAAAGTATGACTGATTATCAGGAATTAAGCATAATGGGAAATTTATCATTCCTCTGTCCTCATGTCAAGGCACATGTAGTTTGCCTTTTAGTACAGTGTTACAAATACAAAGGGTATTAAATTAGGAAAGGTCAAGAGTTCAGCTCTTCATGTGAAGCTCGAGTAGAAAGTTACTTACAAACATAAAATGTGTGTTTACGGTACAGTCTAGTTGTTGGTTGTATGTTTAACTTGACACATCACTCTCAGATCTCCTATCGTCTGAGTCAGTAGGAAGATTTAGTTTTGGATTAAAACATTTTTAGTGTCATTCCTGGTGTCGGGAATTATAGTGAGGAAGCAGCGTGGTTGCTTACAGTTATCTTTGGAGTCGTCGATGTTTACCAAAATGATTCTAATTTCTGACAAGGAATGTTGGGAGTTCTGATAGGGTTGTCATGGTGATGTTGAGAAGGATATTTGTTTTATGTAAGTGCATTTGATATACACTTGGTGCATTTTATGCAAATGTCAAAGCTTTTGAAATTACTTAGTAGTTTGCTGAAAAGAAACTCTTCAGATATTGTATGTTGATATTAATGGTCAAGATCATTAAATAGGTTAAAGGTGATTAGTTATTTAAAGGTGTGAAGAAAAAAAAGGTCACTTGAACAGTATAAGAAGTTGAAGAATTTAAAGGAACAATGATTTATTGCAAGTAGCAATTGTGGATAAACTTAATTCTGAAATGTTTCAAATGAACAAAGTATTGTTAAATGTTCAGAAAGGCTTCTCATTTAAGAGGGCCGGAATGTGGAGTACAGGATGACGTTTTTCTTGAAGCCGATGCTTGTGATGTCACAGGCGTCGCTTTGTAGAAAGTGTATGGATTAGGTCGCTTGAGGGCGTACTGGATTTTGTGTGTTACTGATTTTCCACGTCATGGGATAGTTGCCTCCCAGAGTTGCCTAAGTTTTCGTTTAATTTTGTGATACAAGCCCAATGATGTAAGTAGAAATGAATATGTTATCTTGAAGTTTATGAGTTATATTGTCTTTACAGCTAGATAGCTTAATGAAATATGATGTTTATGACACTAATTTGAGATGATGAAATATGACATGAATGAATCGTTCAAGTGAAAGATTGTACACGTGTATGTAGGTTACGTAATTGTCGTGCACGGTAGTGCGTCTTAATGTACATGTACGTAGTAGTATAATGATATGACCTTGAAGAATGTCAAGGTCACCGTCGGTGAGTTATTATTTGTTGCATGTATTTACCGTAGTCAGATATATAGTGAGAAAGGCATTGTTTGTTTTCCTTTGTTATGATAACAGTTATTAGGATTTTCAGGGTATATTTAATTTGATACATGATATGTTATTTTCATGTCAGTTTATGCAAGATGATTTATTGTTGTTTATCTTTCTATTAAAATTGCAGATTGAACCTTGCCTGCTACAGTCTATAACCAAATTACAGTGCATGGTGTCATTACTATGGGTCTTGGGCAACTAGTTAGTTCGCCAAATCGTCCACCACAAGTACCTCTATTGAATTACATCATGCCATGCATATTGAGGTGTTTTTGTTGTTGTTTATTTTGATATGTTGATTCTTTTGAACTATAGCAGAAATAGAGAGGAAATAATCAGACTTAGTGAATGATAAAGTTAGTGAGATGCAGATTCATCTGATATTAGCTGTGATTTAAAAAATTGTTTATGTTTAATTTTAGTAAAAACAATAATTGGATCGCATCGTGGATTTCACTTTGGTGTGAATTGATGAATTGTCTTTGCACAGATCCAGACGTTGAGTATGGGGGATGTTTCCATAACTCCATGTCGACTACACTCCATTCTCTCGCTACCACTCCTCCAGTCACTCAGCTTGATGAAAATCAGACGAGTTGACATGGACGATGGAGAGACAATGGTATGTATCTTTACTATTCCAAGATTAAAATCCAAATCCTCTTTTTGTTCCAAGCTCCAAAGGAAGGTGTTCAGAAAAACTAGACAGACTAAATGTGAATGATAAAGGAATTACTGAAAAAAAAAAAATTTGTCTTGATATCAAGTTAAAACGACATACTACGGGCTGTTAGTATATCTATGGATGGTTTTATATATCAAACATATATACATGCACGGTTACAATAAGGGAGTTTACAGATAGCACATGGTACAAATGACCCCAAATATCCACAGATCTTTTACACATGGAGAAGTTCCACTTTGAGCATATTAGAATAATAACTGCCAACGTCCTAGATGTGCTTAATGAATACCTTTTGTTTGCCCTCTTGAAAAGAATACTTCCACCTGCGTAACATAGAATGTATTGTTGGTGCATAAATGAATAATGTTACATAACTTTCATGAGCGCATATCCAGTATACATCTGTGTGGGTTTTACCTTTTTGGTACAAATGACCTTTATCTGCCCATGCGCAGATTGTATCTGTAAACTCCTGTATTTCATCAATTTGGAATGAAGTTTAACCATGCATATTTTCTTAACGCTGGTTAAAATATCGATTAATGAATGATTGCCGTTTGCTATTTCCTCATGTATTTTTGTTGTGTATTTTTTCATCATGAAATGTGTAACTTTCATTAATGTGAAATCATTTGAATGATTTTTTTTTAGTCTGGCTGAACGAATATCGCAATAAAGAAGATGAAAATGAGTACTACAATCCCGTCATCTTCCACTGAAAAAAGAGGATAATAACACACGATATTAAATTGGCTTCGGTCATGTTGGTGGAAACAGAAAATATAAAGAGATATTTTTCGAAGGTTTCAGAAAAAGCGGTGAAAGAATAAAAACGTTAATATTTTTTTGAACGTCGATAATACTAATGATGTGATAAAACTTTTATTGGCAATGCGGTCATGATGTGTTTGTCATACAGGGGGTAATCCTCTAATTGTTTTGTATCCAAAATACCGCAAACACCTTTTCTAGAGTATTATGACCTTTTTTGGAAAGGGATACACGTTTAGGCCTAATGGAAACATAATCTGCTGGATCACTAATATGGGAAACAGAGAGGTATTTTTAATATTTTTGAAAAATAAATCAGTTATAGTTCAACCGGAGCGGCATCAAATATGACTGGAGATTCTCTATACCATTTATAATCTCGGCATCCAAAATTTTTTTTAAATTATATTCTTTGTCCCATTTTCCACGTTTACGCGTTTGTTTATTTCTTCTTACTTTAAACTGATGAAAACCCTTTAAGTTTTATTATTGTATATTTGTGGAATATTTACTAAGCATGATATGAACAGTAGAAGTACTTTATCAAAAATGTGTCAGGCTATGTAATATCATTTATTACATTAGTGTTGGTTTCCATACATAGCATATATAGTGATTGAGCCTTTTTTTGCATCGCTGTTATTTCATGTAGACTCATCAAATATCTTCAGTAGATGAGCTATATGTGGATGTTGAGCATGCGACCAGTCTGTGGAATCTTGGACTTCACACATCATGTCCCCGAGTTGAAAAACTCCAACTGCGTTGGTCGGAGGAGAATGTGTCATTAGATGTCATCACAATGGCCTGCTGTTCATTCCATCATCTAACTCACCTTCACATAAATGGATTCGGGGCCATCTATACTGTGATTCCACGGATTGATCCCGTGTCATTCTGCAAGGCGGTGATAACATCATGTCCTGGGCTCAACAAGCTGTCCTTTGAATGCATCGACCTGCGTACCAAGAAGGCAGCTCAGATTATCCAACTCATGATCACTCATCCACACCTGACAAGCATAGAGTGAGTCTCATTTTGATTTACCAGGGTAATGATTGCCACATTATAGTCAAAATCTTAGAAATGAACATGTAAAACACATTGGAACGACACATTTGGGTTACCTTTCACTGTGATTTTTTCCTCTCTTCATTTACTTTACCTTTCTCTCTCTCTCTCTCTCTCTATATATCTTCCAGTCCCTTTCTCCCAATTAGTTTTCTCTCTCTTTACTAATATTCTCTTTTTGTTCTTAAGTACAGTCAAAATGCTAATTTACCCAAACAAATTGCAAAAATAATTTATCCCACTTCAGGGAACTAGGATGCATGTAATACTCTATTAAACAACATACTAAAAGTTTGAGAAAATTTAAACTGATAGTTGGTTTTGGTATAGAGGGCGCTACCAAAAATAATTGTTTATGAGATAATGAAAAATTGAGTGTCAAATTTGAAAGAACATACAATTTAAATGACAAAATCATCTTTGCTTGATCAAAATCGGTTCAGAGACGGCTAAAATATAAGCATTTCTAATATTCGATTATTTTGAACCAGCGGCTGAAGAAACGAGATAGCACCTTATACGTTTCATTTCAGCCAATGCCAATGTTGGCATCTTGTTGGCTTTTGGTTCAGAGACAACAATAAAGAGATTAAAATTCATATTTTCATCTCAATATTGTTGTAAATAACCAATTTTGAACAATTCAAGTGTTCAGTGCAATGCTTTCAAAGTCAATGAAGAAGGTGGACAAGTTTTTGAATCCATATTAGGATTAAAGGGATAGTTGAGTTCTTGTTTCAGACCGCAAATGCCTTCAAAGTGCATGGTTATTGCTCTTATTCTTATTTATGACATTTTTAGTGCCCTTTTAGTACCTAAAATTCCATGAAAGTAATTTTACACCCCAAAATGTGTGAAATTTAGCCAATACGATCATATCAATTCAGCTCTACTTTCAAAAAAATACTGTGACCGTTAATTATGAATTAATTAATAATAACAATAAATGAGCCGGCTGGTTGTGCGTTGTATAACAAACACGAACAAGCCAACATCGGCATTGGCTGCAATAAACGTATAAGGCGCTATCTCGTTTTTTTCAACGGCTGGTTCAAATTATCGAATATTTGTGGGGCACCACAAATATTAGAAATCGTTATATTTATAGATATTTCAGCCGTCTCTGAACCGATTTGGATCAAACAAAGGTGATTTTGTCATTTAAATTGTATTTTCTTTCAAATTTGACACTCAGTTTTACATTATCTCACAACAAATTATTTTGTGTAGCGCCCTCTGCAACAAAACTCAGCTATCCCTTTAAAGTAGCTGAGCGAAGAATATGCAAAAAAGCTTAAGGCAGAGAGATATCAACATTCATATTTGTATCATAATCTGCCATCTAAGATCCCAGTTAAATCAGTTCAAATATTGTAATGGATACTGGCATTGTTCCACTGAACAGGATGAGTACATTTCAAGATGGGTTGAAACAGTACTTTATGCATAATATACAAATTAAGTTTTCATTTTTTGGATATTCAAATCGAAAGTTATAATTTGAATTTATATTTTCATGTAATTATGATGGCTTAATATTTGCAATGTGTGTTTTTTTCTATTTATTTACCATGTAAAATAATTGTTTACATGTGATGAAATTCAGAGGGTTACATCGAGATATAATACATAGTAGGAACAGTGCATAAACAACAAATGTTTGAAGCGCAACGTCCCTAAGATAACATAGCTGACAATTATTCCAACGTGTCTGGAGACCCAAAATACATAGCTTTCAATACATGAATTGTTGTAAGAGCGGACTTCTTTAATAAGTGAATGGTGGAAGCTAATTTGCATATCATGTGAAATTCACTAGTTAAAGTAATATTAAAATGTTTCAATCATGTTCAATGGCATGGGCAATATCAATCATAATCATATCACTTGAACTGATTTAACTGGGATCTTAGATCATGGCAAGTTATGAACAGATATTAATTTCATTATCTTTTTGATGAACGCTCATTTACATAGTTATGTGAGAAAATGTGTTCAGTCTGTTCACTAACATTTGATCATTGGATAATTGAACACTTGATTTGTTCAAATCGGCTATTTACAACGATATTTAGATAAAAATATGAATTTTAATTTCTTCCACACCTTCAGACATAGAATTTATGCTTACATGGTGTTAATACAACCTAGATACCTGATAATAAATATTTTTGATCTTATAATCATGATAAGAGGAAAACTAGCGTTAATTTAACACATTTGAAGTTTGTTATCAAAGAAAATTGATTAACTTAATAAGGCAAACACTTTGCCCCACAATCCACATATCGTTATTACTGCTAAATTAGTAAGGGGTAGTTGCATTAAGGTTTGGAATGCATCTCAGAGTGGGTTATCTTAAAGATTAGATGATAGGGTGCTGTATTGAAGATTTTAAAATATTTTACATAATCTGATAATCGCTTGATTTCAGGATTTATTCATACCAATATAATTTTCTTAACCCTAATAAGGCCGGGGGGGCGTTATGCCCCCCCCCCCCCCCTCCACGATTTTTCCGATTGCTCGGGAACGCATATAAATGGCGCCCCGCCGCTCGCTGACTGTTTTCTTTCAAGTCTTGCGCAACGTTTAACAGAATTTTTTTTTAAATCGGACCTACGGTTACAAGGTCATTTTCGTGATTTGTGTACAAAACATATGGAAAAGTCATTTTTCCTAAAAACAGATCAAACAT